ACCACACACCCCTGAGTCCACTGATGGGCGGTGGCTGGGAAAATGACTGCAAACCTTTTTTTTCTTATTGGATTTATTGGGATGACATCTATAATAATAAAAGGGTAATATGCTAATTAGACCAGAAGCCCTTCTGGGATGTCTTCCGAACATCCTTCTGGACAAAGCCACGGTGGCGGAAGCTGAGGGAGAGGTGGTGATCAGGCAGGCAGGCAGGTGAGCGGTTAGGAGCTAGCAGTCCCAAATTGTGAGAAGGATATCCGACAGCCGGTAGTCAGACATCCCCTGAGGGGTCCCAGATTGGTGAGGGTGCTGGCCGGGCTGAGGGACATCTCCCCCCCATGCACAAATTTCGTGCACTGGGCCTCTAGTCTATATATATAAAAGCCTAAGCGACTGTTATAACCGGTTACCAAACGACCAGTCACTGTGACGTGCACTGACCACGAGTGGGCAGATGCTCAATGCAGGAGCTGCCCCCTGGTGGTCAGTAAACTACCACAGCCAACATCCTGTGGCCGGCCAACCTCCCTCAGTTTCTCCCCAAGGCTGGCCAGCCCAATGGGCCCTGATTGGGACTGGTCGAAGCAGCCCCGATCAGCCTCAATTGCCAGCCAGGCCGAGGGACCCCACCTGTGCACGAATTTGTGCACCAGGCCTCTAGTATTATAATGAAAAACCAAGATGTTGAGGTGGCTAAGGCAATAAATTTGGAGATAAAGCATCCAGGGTCGGGTCATAGCCCAGACACAGCTATGCAGCTTTTGGTAACTTATCTTTCAGTCATTTTCCTCATCTATAAAATGAGCTTATGCCATATTCATCAACAAACAAGACAGTTGAAATGGTCAATAACTTTTGGTATTACAAGACACAAGTTTCACTGCCTGCAACTTCTAAGAAAAAATTGGTTCAATTCTTTATTTTAAAAATTGATTTTAGAGGGAGAAAGGGGGTTGGGGGGAGAGAAACATACATGGATTGGTTGCCTCCCACATGTGTACTGACCAGGGATGGAACCAGAAACCTAGATATGAGCTCTGACAGGGGCGTGGAACCCAGGACTCTCCGTGCAGGGACAACACTCCAACCAACTGGGCCACACTGGCCAGGGCGCTTCAATTCTTTTATTTTCCCCATCTCAGGTATACATTTTGAATGTACATCTTCAGAGGCTCTTATGTTGTGTCTCAAAAATGTCCACTTGTACAAACTTTGGGAATGGTAAAGGCAACTACCAGAAAAAAATTTCTCCAAAGATTGTCCAATTCCTGTAAATATGCTATATGTCATGAATTGAACATCTACAACAGGTGAATTTTATGGTATGTAAATTCAGCCTCAATAATACTGTTAATGAATCAAGTTCAATAGATGACTCTGCCATCTAATTGACCCCCTAAGGACCAGTTTTATAAAAGAAATCTAGATATTTGGTCAAGTTCAAATGATCCTGAATATCTTAAGAACTACAGTGAGAGGACCGCTTGTACTCTGAGCGCAGTAAGAAACCAGTCAGGTTTCTCCGACAGAGAAAGCGAATTCATTGGCTCGGAAACTTGCAGGACTAATCCTCACAAACACCCAGCTGCCTGGGCTCCTCCAGTCCTGCCGCCCGATCTCCCGTATCCTCCGGAGAGAACACCTCCGGGGAGGCCGAGCCGCC